TAAACTCGTTTCTCACTTTGTTTTTGTTTTCTCTTTTTAAACTCTATCACACTCTCTTCAGATTTTCAGAATGTGTTCCTCTCTAAAAAATGTTCTCCCCAATATCTCCTCTAAAAATCTCCTCTTAAATCCCCCTTTTTTAATTGTCAAGTGAGTCTCTTATATACCCAAAGCAAGACCCAATCCTTCCACTATGTGCACCCTTTAACTTTTATTATTACTCACACTTTTACTTTTTGAAAAGTAGTCAAAGTGGGCCCCCATGTTCCCTCTTTTTAAAAAGTAGTCAAAGTGGGTCCCCTTGTTCTCTCTTTTTGAAAAGTAGTCAAAGTGGGCCCCCATGTTCCCTCTTTTAAATAGAAGACATCATTACCCACCTTTTCCTTTTTGCTTTTATCATTATGTCGGGTCCCCACCATAATTAAATAATCTGTAATTGGTTAATTCCCGTTTTACCCCTAAAACTACTGTTACGCCTCGATTCAAAAATCTGTTCAACTTCAAAATTATCTAAGAACCTAAAATTAAATTACCAGTTATAACCAATCCTTAATCCAGTTCAATCAACAAATTCAACCTTAAACTGTGAACAACAAATCAACAATCGGAATTATTTTGACTGAACGATATTTTTAACAACACATATATTTGCAGATTCAACAATATTAACAAATTGAACCTAACCAACAAATAGATTTGAATTTCTAAATCCAATAACCAATTGATCTTTAAACTAAATCCAACAACATTACAACCAAAATGAATATTCAAATTAAATCAAGCATTTAAAATATAAATTCACATTAAATCACCAGATTAAGAACGAACTTCAACCAAAAGATGAACACGAATTTAATCTAAACTAATCAACAAAGACGGATGAGTCGAGAGATTAAACTAAAATATTTCTATATTACAACTAAATTCTTTTAAACGAATAAAAACAAACCGAAGAAGAAATAATTAATCGGATTTCAACTTGAATCTAACCACATTAAAATTAAACTAACAATTTCTTTTACAAATTAAACTAAAATTAAATTAACAATTTCTTTTATATTAAAACTAAACTAACAATTTCAATTTGAATCTAACAATATTAAAATTAAACTAGCAATTCCTTTTTACAAAAATAAATAAAATTAACATGAAACAAACCAAAAATAAGTAATTAAATTTCAATTTGATTCTAACAACATAAAAAATTAAACTAACAATTTCTTTTACAAAAACAAATAAAACACTTGAAATAAACTGAAAAACGATTAATTAAATTTTAATTCGAATCTAACAACATTAAAATCAAACTAACAATTTCTTTTACATTAAACTAAAACTAAACCAACAATTCCTTTCACATTAAAATTAAACCAACAATTTTAAGTTTGAATCTAACAACATTAGAATTAAACTAACAATTTTTTTTTGAAAACGTAAATAGAATTAACATGAAACAAACCAAAAATAAGTAATTAAATTTCAATTTGATTCTAACAACACTAAAATCAAACTAACAATTTCTTTTACAAACTAAACTAAAATTAAACCAACAATTTCTTTCACATTAAAATTAAAACAACAATTTTAATTTGAATCTAACAACATTAGAATTAAACTAACAATTTTCTTTTTGAATCTAACAACATTAGAATTAAACTAACAATTTCTTTTACAAAAATAAAAAAAAACACATGAAACAAACTGAAAAATAATTAATTCAATCAACAAAATACATGAACAAACACATGAATTAATTCAACAACACATGAATAAACTAGAAAGTTAATTCAACGATAAACAAAAACAAAACAAGAATCGAACATTTACCGATTTTAGATCCGAGAATATCAAAACAAGATATGGAAAAAACATGAAACTCAAACCTACTAACCGGATCGAAGCGACGACGAACTCGAACGGAAACAAATATGTACAGAGACAATTATTGCATCAAAATGACTCAAATCTTCCCGGAAACTTAAACAATAGACGAAGCTCGACGGAGGGGTGTTTGGCGACGACAGGAACTGAAGCAGCAGCATGGAGAAGAAGGACGGAGCAGCAACGATGGAGCTGCCATGGCAGCGGTGGGGCAGCAGCGCGAGGAAGAGACAGTAGCAGCCGCGA